CCTATGGGTGGGGCTGGAAATGGAGGAGACACCAGGAAGGTGAAATGCTGATGGGCTGATGGAGTCACCTGCACAGGGACATCACGAATCCCATCAGGAGGGGGGAGCTGAGGGCCTGACCCCTGACCAGCACCCTAAGCGAGGGGAGCAGCTCCATCTGGGATCCTCCTTTTGATCTCTGGAAGCGCCCGGGATCCATCTGATCCACAGTCTAATCTTCCAGTGACATTCATGGCATGGGAGCTGTTTTCCATGGAAACCTCTCTGCAGGAGCACAACCCTGCCAGATGCCTTGATTGAACCAGCCCGTGTCATATCCTCAGCTCTGCTCCAACATCTGACCCGGCCTAAGCAGATCGGGCGCTTCAAAGCCAGGCGAAGCRTTCTTCGTGCCAGAGAAAAGAAGCGTGGAATGTCCAGAGCTGGAAAGGGACCCACAAGGATCATCCAGTCCAGCTCCTGGCCCTGCACACAAACCCCAACAATCCCCCCTGCTGTCCAAACGCTCCTGGAGCTCTGGCAGGATTGAGGCCGTGCCCATTTCCTGAGGAAYSCSTTCAGTGCCCCACCACCCTCTGGGGGAAGAGTTTTTCCTTCAGCTGAATGGCCACCATAGTATAGAAGCCAAGTGAAAATCCAGCCAAGGCTTCCCAGTGAATTCTGGGTTGGTTCAGAGTGGACACCATGCATTTCCACTGAATCTCTGTGACATTTTGAATGCTCTCTGGTGGGAATTTGCAGCAGTTCACAGCAGCACAAAGCTCAGAGTTACAGAAGTCTGAATGCACAAAAAGCACTCCAACTCTCCTAAATTTGCCTTTGGACAGCACAGAAATGTGGGGTTTATGTTTACCTGCACCTTTTGGCCTCTCTCGATGCACAGATGCATAAGAGGAACGAGGTTCCCAGCAATGGGAACAGTAAAACTTCCTGGCCTTGTTTGCCTTGGCCCAGCAGCTTCTGCTGACATCTCTGCATCCCTCACGGTCCGCCATGCGTGAAATATTCCGGGTTATCGCTAAGCTGAAAGCTGATGGATCCAACCCAAAGCTCGCTGAACACCCAGCAAGAGGGACCAGACACTGTCTCGGGCTGCTGGGTTAAAAATAATTCTGAATTGTCRGATTTCACAGCTGGCCTCCAGCTCGGTTGGAGTGATGGCCCATGGGCAAGGGGTGCGGTGGGATGGGCTTTAAGGTCCCTTCCAACCCAAATCCCGCTGGGATCCCATTCTGCCTTCAGTTTTCTTAAAGTTTTCATTAATGGAGGTTGGTAATTAAAGGACCTGATGTTGAACAGAACTTAGGACAACTGGGAATTTCTGTTTTCAAAATAGTATTAATCGGATTTTTTGGCTGCTTTGTTGAAGGTAAAGCCTCGAACCCCTTCAAACAAGAGTCTTGATATTTATTTCTCACAAAGCCAAATTCCTTTCCAGCTCAGTGAGATGGACCTAGAGTGTCCAAGTGCCGTGGCCAGGGACACCTCCCACTGTCCCAGGCTGCTCCAAGCCCCAATGTCCAGCCTGGCCTTAGACACTGCCAGGGATCCAGGGGCAGCCACAGCTCCTTTGGGAATTCCATCCCAGCCCCGACAGGGAACAATTCCTTTCCAAGATCCAATCCATCCCTTTCCTGTGTCAGTGGGAAGCCATTCCCCCTGTCCTGTCACTCCAGGCCCCTGTAAAAAAACCTTTTATAAAAAGATCAAATGGACAAACTTGCAGAAGCTGCTCTCACACTGATATAAAATGCGCAATAGCTGAAATTATCCCCCCAAAAAAAAAGACTTTTTTTGGCAAAAACTGCATTTTGTGGGAAGTGAAACAAGGGATGAACCTATTAATACATTCCAACTGCAAACAAAAGTGGGCTCAGAAACACCCACAAAACACTCCCTGTGCCTCCTAAATGTCCYGTGCCTCCAGCAGGTACCACAGGCTCACAACACCGTAAGCGATACCCCAACGTGGGGCTAACGGCACTCGGCGCTCTTAAAACCATTTCTTAATTTAACTTCCAATTTATGGAGGCATTTTACCATCCTTCAACTCTCATTTTCTCTGAGGAAAYGCAGGCCCCGCTCCGCAGAGCGTTCAAACAAATGGATGTCGCCAAATTATTAAAATTAAAGGGTTTGGCCAAGAGGATGGTGGCTGGAGCCCAGCTCCCCAAATCCCCCGAGCAGCTTTCAGCCGAGTGTGGAAAGGCTCCACCGGAGGGAATGCCGTGCCTGCGAGCATCACCTCACCCTGCTATGTTTGGACAGCTCACGGAAAGCCCGTGCCACGGGGAGGGGAGTGCCGACACGTCRTCCATCATCCCGCAGCTTTCGGGGCTTGCTGGGGCCGTTAATCACCAGCGCTGTCCCATCCTACCCATCCTGCCCTGATTGATCTCCCCGTGCTGGATGGTGGATACAGTGCTGGAAAGGATCTTCAATCCTTTCCTTCAATCCCATCTCGTTCCACCACCTGCCACGAGGTTGGTCAGAGCCCTGTCCGGCTTGGCTTTTCTCAGTTTGGAGTTTTAGGAACTTTTTTAGGATCAAGGGGCCGCGGTGGCACACGTGGACTCCTGGCCGAGCCCGCTCAGGCTGGCTGAGTTTCTGTTGGAAACCTCGGCCGTGCCTCTCACAAACACCAGATGCTCCACGCTGGGGAAACAAAGAGAGCTTTCCTGTAAACAACGGCGTGTTGCAGCCCTCTCCCAGGCACGAACAATGAAAAATTAAAAAAAAAAAAAAAAAAAAAATAAAAAAAAAAAAAAAAAAAAAAAAAAAAAAAAAAAGAGAGAAAAAAAAGTGAAAAGAGGTGGAAAACAGAAAGGCACATGTGTGTCGGGGGCAGGAGTGCTGGATAAGTGGGGAAGAATGGGAAAAGTGCTGGATGCAGGTGGGACAATGAGTTGCATGGGGGGCTGCGGTCTCCTGTCACTGTGCAGGGCTGGGGGGGGGCCACAGAATCCCCACAGGGATTGGAGAGCCACRGAATCCCAGAAGGTTTGGGTTGGAAAAGACCCTAAAGTTCATCCCATTCCATCCCCTGCCATGGCAGGGACACCTTCCACTATCCCAGGCTGCTCCAAGCCCTGTCCAACCTCGCCTTGGCCTTTTCCATTGACCCAGCRGCAGCCAGAACATTTCTCTTCTTTCTCTTCCACAACCTTTTCCTTTCTTTTTCTTCACGATTGCAACTTGCAGGGGTCGAAAGAGCTCCTTTGGGAGGGAAGACAAGCCTGGAGGAGCTGATGGGGAACAACAACAAGAACAACMATTTAAATCATTTGAGGCTTCCCCAGCAGTGCCTGGGGAGTGGGAATAACAGATCGTGGAGGAAATGCTTCGAGCCTGCCAGAGGTTTGGTCGGTTCTCATAGCCCGGAGCGAATATTTGGGCATCGCACAGTGAGAGAAGAAATCTTTCCCTTGCTGCTGCAGATCTCAGGATGAGATTAACGAGTGTGGGTAATAAGGAACATGTGGCAGTGCTGTTACATAAAGCAAGGACAGGCTCACAGGTGACTCTGTCACACGGGAAATGCAGTGAGGGGTGATGAGAAATCCCAGCTGTTCTGTCCTGGAGGGGACAGGTAAATACCACACAATTCCTTTAAATAATTCCACATTTATCGTCCCCAAATTGGCAGCTCAGCCACGCAGATCTCTCCCATTTGAGGGGAAATCTCCAGTTCCAAGCTGCAGCACAGAGATGCTGTCACTGACCTGCAGGTACCAGTTTGGGGTGGAGGAAAACACTCCAAATCAGAGGAATATTGAGGCTGGAGATRTTAAAATTTCAGATTAGGGCTTGTTTGGCTTTGTTTTTCACCACCACGATTCCAGACCATTTGATTGTTTCCTTCCAATTTAGGAAAAAACTCTGGGTTTTGCCTTCAGAGGAAATGCTGGCACYGGATCAGACAAACATCTCGCAAGTGAAAAAAGCAGGAATCCTGAAAAGGGGACTGTGCCCTTGCCTGGAGGCAGCTGCAGGGATTAAATCCTCGGGAACACCTGCTAAACCTCAGCAAGAACATGGCAACCAGCAGAAACTCTTGCGGGGAGTTTCTCAGTGAAAATGTCACAAAATAAAAAAAAAGGTAAGTTAGAAGAATCACAATATTTTGAGGAATTACATAGATTTGGGTTGCCAAGACAAACCGAGGAGCTGCCTTTCCTGAGCTACCAAGGGAGCAGGAGCAGAAATGTGAGGTTTAAAGAGCTTGGCGTGAGGGGGGCAGAATTTCGGGATGCCCTGAAAATGTTGCCGGGGGTGGCAAGGCAGGAGCGGGCACTGGCGCTGTCCCCGTGACCCCCGCGCAGGGACCGCGGTTCTCCGGCCCCCTCCAGTGGCTACAGAGCAGGGAGAGGATCCAGCCTACCCCAAATCCAGAGATTCCTCACTGGAATCCACAGTTTTCATCACTGGAAGAAGAAGGGCTAAAGAGGTGCTGTAGCTGAAGGGCTGGTTTGGGGTAAAAAGGGCTTTATTTGGCTTGGAGGATTGAAAAACAGAAAAAAAATAAACCAAATAACCACTTCAACCCAACAGATGCCATTCCCCTGCCTTTTGCAAAGCCCCCAAAGAGCAGGAAATGATATTTGGATCCCAGCTATCAGCATTCCATGCCCCGAAAACCTTCTCCTAGCAACAGAGATGAGAAATCCAACATAAAAGGACAGCTTTGGAGCAGCTTGGCTTCTTCCAGACCTGCTTTGGTTCTCCAAGCATTTCCCATATCCTGTTATCCCATCCAAACTCCCAGCAAGGCTGCACAGCACACATTTTACATATTTTACACAAATCTAACGGGCATTTTCCAAAGGATGGKATGAACACTGCAGGAATGTCTCATTTCCCACCCACAACTTCACAAAACTCAATTTTGACTCGTATCATYTGAGCTTGCCCCATGGACAGCATGGAAGAAGTCACTTTTACCAAATGGAATGCTTTGCCACATAGGAGGGAATGGTCAAATCCAAATTGAGGCAAAAAGAAATGCTGTTTATATAGTGTGAAAGGATATAAATTTATTATTTCGATTTTATACTGGAAGATTGTTCTTTCCTGGGTTTAAAAGGACAGGAGCAAGCAGAGGATGTAGGGTTTGACCCTATACAGCAGCACACTGCTCACTGAATGTCATTCATCTATTTTAAGATCCATTATTAACTCTCTACAGCAAAAATTCCCATTTTCCTATGTATTAACCAGCTCAGCAAAGCCGGGTTTAAGCAGCCTCAGCAGCCAATCTCCACAGAGACTTCATTCCAACAGAACTCTGTGCACTTACAGCTTAATTTAAAGTGAATTATCCCCAGGCTGGACTCGTTTCAACCCCTCAAGCCAAGGGTCAGGCAGAGCTTTTCCAGAGGAAAATGCCCTCAGTGAAGATGAAAGTTGGATGGAAGAGCCAGACTTACCAAAGCTTTGATTCTGCACATCTCCAAGTCACTGAGGCTGGGAGAACCATCTTTCCACCTGGAGAGACYCATGGGCAGGGGAATCATTTAGATGGGATCTTTAATTAATATTGTAATGGGTTTAGCTTTAATTACAGACTGGATTCCATCAAGCACAGAGTCGATTCTCTCAATTCCTTTGGGCCACCCTCCATTGTCCCCACTGTGGCATTTCMCCAGGTGGAACTACCATCCTGGGCACTGGGACAGGGAATGGGCATGGCCCCAAAGCTGCCAGAGCCCAAGGCCCCCGACACTAAAAAAAAATCCAAAAAACCCAGTCCTGGGGGTTTTCCAGAGGGAAAAGCCAACCCCAAAAGTGATTTTCTCAAGAAAAGCCCATCTCACTTTCTGCCTCCCCACAGCAGAGCTCCTGCAAACCATTAGGGATCCCCCAGCAAGGTGCCAAGAGTTCTTTACAACCTGTTTGCATCTCCCAGGCATGTTCACACCTCTATAAAAACCGGGRAAACCGAAACCAGCTGCAGGCCTGGGAAGGGAGCGGCGTGGAGCTGCCCCTCCTCACCTGCCCTCAGCTCCATGTCCGTCACATCTCACCTGGAAAAGGTCTGGAAATACCCTCTGCTTTGTATTTATTTTTTCCCTCAAAAAGAACGTTTTGTAACCAGTGTCAATCCCACATTTGGGACAAGGATTCACCTTCGGAGCCACAGGAACCAAGAGAGGTCCTGAGGTTCCATCAAAGAAACTTCATCAAACATATGGAGATCCCCGAAACCTCAGAAGGTCTAARATACAACTTTTCTCCCTAAAAATTCAACTTATCTCCCTTTGGGATCTGGCAGCCTCCCAGAGTGGGATATCCATGTCAGAGCACAAGGGATCTCCTGAACAAGTCTCCCCCATTTGGGACCAGCCAAGGGCTCCCTTTTGGGGCCCCAAGAACSAYGGGAAGACCCGAGATCCCAGCAAGGAAACAAAAGGATGTGTCTGCCAGAACAAGGGAAAGAAACAGGGAAAAGAGTCTGGAAGAAGCAATAGGAATTCCTGATCCTGGCAAATATTCCTTCTGCTYTGTGGGACTCTCTCCTCTCCTTCAACCCTGACACTGTGCAACATTTCATCCCTATGGGGTAAATCCATAGGGTGCAGGGATGGGGCTTGGAGCAACCTGCTCTAGGGGAAATGTTCCTGTCCATGCCAGGGGCTTGGAACCAGGWGAGCTTTAGGGTCCCTCCTGACCCAAACCCATCTAGGATTCTCTGATCTTTAAGGTCCCATCTGGAAAAACATCTTCATCAGCTGGATGAGCACGGGGAGAAGAGCTGGCAAAGAAAAATCATCCAGAAAAATGAACTTACAACACAGGGACTTTACTTGAATCAGTAAAAGCCAAGTACCAATTACCACCTGAGATTTTCCTGAGGCACCATCATCTCAATTTTCTCAAGTTGCTTTTTTGATAACGATTCCCCGACACTGACCATGTCATCCCAAAAAAGGCTCTCGGCTCCCTGCAGAATGACTCTTCTGGGAGCTCGTGGCACTGCAAATCCAGGCTGATGGTGCAACACCGTGATTAGAAGCACAAAATCTCCCAACACCTCAAAAAAACCGCTTTTTTTCTCCCTTTTCCACAATGCAAACAAAACAGATTTGTTAAGTGGGTTTGGGAGGGTTTTCTGTGGTTTTACCATGGGATGTGGAGTAAAATAAAGGTAAGAATTTCTGGTTTTAYGTAGAAAGGGAGAAAAGCAGGGACGCTTTCCACACACAGAAATGCCACACAGAGATCAGGAATGGTGACACAGATCGGTAACAGAGGTTACACATTGCCAGCARCTACAGGATATATTGTATTTACTCCAGCAACACCCACACACGGTCAGCAGCCTCTCCCGGGGGAGATAAGACACACRGAATCACCGCACCCTAAATCTGGGGCGGAAAAAACCCCACAGGAGCAGGGAACTTAAGTGCACTCCATGAGCAGCKCTGTGGGGAAAGGGGCAGCAATGGCGCCTGGCTTTGTCACTCGTTCACCAGAGCTCAAACCGTCCCCAAAAGCAGCCAGCCGCCCTTCAGCTGTGTTCGTGGAGTAAAAACTGTTTAATGGGGTCGGGGATTGGAAGGCTGGGGATGAGATCCAGGCGGGATTTGCCGAGGACTCTCCTGACGGTGATGCGGCACAGAGACAGGAGGCTCCGGGTGCAGCCTGCAAGGGAAAACACACGGAATTGTTATGGGGGAACGGGAAAGGGGGAACAGCAACACCGAGGCAGTGTAGGGGGGCTGAGGGTGCACAAATCCTGCCTCGTGAGGAGGACAAAACCTTGGGATTTGGAGCGGGGATGGCAGATTGGAAGGGCTGGCTGGAGAATGGATGGGGATGGTGACCGTGGAGGCCATCGCTGTCAGGGAACGGCGGGAGCTGGGCCAGCGGGGTTTAGGGTGGAGATCGAGGAAATTCTTCCCTCACAAGATTTTGGGGCACTGAGGCTCCCCAGGGAAAGGTCCCCCAGGACTCCAGGAGCGTTTGGACACTGCTCTCAGGGTGGGATTGTTGGGGGGTCTGGGCAGGGCCAGGGGTTGGATCCATGATCTTTGTGGGTCTCTCCCAGCTCAGGATATTCCATGATTCCATTTGGATCATTTTAAAATGACAAAACCTTATTTTTCTCTCACCCACCCGATGGGAAACAACAGCACCAATAGCCAGCTCAGGCCTTGTCCCAACTTTCATTTGAGGGTTTTCTCTGAGTCCCTGGAGAGCTCTTCCAGCACAGGAACCAGATGATGGTGGTGCTTCAGGAGCCCTCCATTATCCCACATGCACCACCTGAGGAGCCCCATTTGCCTCCCAAACCCAGACCTGGTGGAAGCCTCCAGCTCTCAGCAGAAGCCCAGGCAGGTTTAAAACCCAAGCACAAGCTAAGCTGAGTAACCTGGGGATGTGGGCTGTACCCCACAGCCTGAATCCCTTTGGAATTCCTCTGGAGACAGAGAGGGAAAGCTCAGTTCCGTCCCCGCTGCAAAACTGTGTGATTCACCGGGTGGGTTTCTGAGGTGCTGCACTTTTCCCCCACATATTTTCACCCTCATCTGAGCTTCCTCCTGCCCCTTTTTGCCACCATTTGTGGCTTTCATTCCCAAGCAGCCTGTCCAGATTAAACTCCCTCGTGGATTCAGATCTCAGGTTGATGCCTTAGGATCTCAGCTTCTCTATTTTCATACCTCTGTAACCCTGGAATTCTTTAGTGGGTAACTCCAGACTCCACAGACAGTGCTGAGCTCCTGCTCTCCCATTTTCATACAAAACAATTCCTCTGCAGCCCCAAACTCAAGGACACCTCCCTGTGCCAGGCCCCAAGAGATGGAAACAACAGAGAATTGGGGGGAGCCAAGYTGGAGTGAATGACTGCATTGGCTGCAGCTGCAATTGGAGGATTCAGCCCCRATGTGCAAATGGACAAAAGTGAGAAAGGGTGAAAAACCCGTGAGCCATTGTCCATTGTGGGTGTGGGACTGCCCTGAATGTACCTGAAGGCCCTGCCATAAACAAAACCGATTTTTATTCTCTCAATTTAATCTAGCCTCTGTTTTAGGTGACCCTGGATAAGGCATCACTGGAAATGGGGACAGCAACACCCACCCTGCCACCTCCACAGCCAAACCACTCCAAAGAGCCCTCCCCAACCCCAAACCCCGCCCCAGGAGCCCAAACCCACTCACCCCTGGCTTCTTTGAACACCTCCAGYGCCTCGGGGTTGACCCTGACCCTCCCCGCCGCCTCCCCCGCCAAGGCCTCCACCTTGACCAGGCTGAGGTCGGCGCCGAAGTCCACGAGCAGGCGGACGAAGGCGGGCTCGCAGCCATGGCGCAGCACGGCGTCCAGCACGCTGAGCGGCGAGCCCCGCGAGAAGCCGCGCACGTCCACGGGCCCGCGGCAGTTGAAGTCGGGGTTGGCCCCCGCCTGCAGCAGCAGACGGAAGCAGGGCAGGTGGTGGTAGGCAGCGCTGATGTACAGGGGACACACCACCAGTGTGGTGAGCGGCCGCGCCGCCTGGCCTGGCCCGCGCCCCGCCAGCTGCTGGTTCACATCCACATCGGCGCCGTACCTGGGGGAGAGGGTGGGATGAGGATGAAGGATGTGCGGGGAGCCAGGAGCTCTGGAGCCCACCCATCCCAGACCCATCTGGGATTCAGCCCCAGTCCCAGACCCATCTGGGGTTCAGCCCCGATGCGCAAATGGACAAAAGTGAGAAAGGGTGAAAAACCCGTGAGCCATTGTCCATTGTGGGTGTGGGACTGCCCTGAATGCACCTGAAGGCCCTGCCATAAACAGAACTGATTTTTATTATCTCAATTTTGTCCAGCCTCTGGTTTAGGTAAGCCTGAATCAGGCATCATGGGCAGTGGAGAGCTAAAGGGGTGGCTTCTTTGAGAAGCTTCCCCCTCCCCCATGTTGGCCGAAGAAGAGGCAGAGTTTGGTGAGAAGGGAGGGGTGGGGTAGATGTTTTCTAGGATTTATTCTACTTCTCATCATCCTGCTCTGATTTTATCAGGAATAAATTAAACTGACAGCCCCAAGTGGAGTGATGGTCATTAGTGAGTAATCTYTCCCATTCCTTATCTCTCCCATTCCCTGTTCTACCCGTAGAGGGGTCAAAGTTTCCTTCACCCACCAATCCCCCTCCCCAAATGCATAGTGAGCACTCAGACAACTCAATTTTTCCTACAATAGCATTATATTCCTTTCATGAGTTCGCAAAACTGAGGAAAACACCTGGGAACAAATCCTGCCCCAAAGCAGACCCAGTTCTTGCTGAAACCAGTGGGGACTGCTCCCTACCCAGCAAACATTTAACCAAACCCCTCAGCTCTGAGGGCAGGGAGAGTCTCATTTAAATTAAACACGCCCAGAMAAAGGACTGGGAGACTCCTCCAAGGGCTGCAAATGGCACAAAGTGTATTTTTTTTCCCTTAAAATCAGATGACACAAGCATTTGGACAGTTATCCATRCTGCTCGAGGACTTCCATAGGGCCTCCTGAGCAGACAGCAGAYACCCCTTCATTTCAGTCCTTTTTATCCCCATTATTACCATCAAAATTCTCTGTGGAAACCCTCAACTCAAAGCAAATTCTACTTTTACACAGTCATSTGAGGCACGCGAGTGATCTGGCAGCTGCTTTTCCCAGTTTTAGCCTGGCAAAAGGATCCTCTCATTCTTGCTGCCCAGTGGATCCCAGCACAGCATGACCCTAAATTATCAGCAATATCATTTATATCCAATTAGAACCCTAAATACTTCCCTCAGCCTCCTAAAAAAGTGGATCCCTGTTCTGTAGCTGTGTGTGGATTCATGGATTTCATTTCAGCAGYTGTAGGAACACTCAGGGATCCCAATGGTGCCACCATAGGATTTTCAAACCAGGTGATGTCCAGACACCTGCAGCAAACCCGGTTTCATGCTCTCTCAAAATATTCCTTCCTACCTCAGGAAAAGTGTTTTCCTCAYTGCACTCCCCTCTCCAAATCCTTCAGATCCAACATTTTAAAATCTCTGTAAGATAAAGGCTGTGTTTTTCACTAAGCAACTCTGCACAGATCTGTGAAACCCCTACTCTGAGATATTTGAAATTTTGGGCAACCTGACAATTTGGTATTAGCTTAGCAGCCTTGGGAGAGACATTGCCTAATAAAAGGGGATTGGCCAAACTCCAGTTAATTTTTAATCCTGAAAGTTTTCCAAAATCTTGCTTTTAATATTGCTGGCGAGGTATCCCAAGGAGCAGACACATAAATCAAGGCATCAGCTCTCCCTGTGCTGCTGAAATACCATTTGCTACATTTCACCCTGCCTGGGTGGAGGGATCAGGGGAGACTTCTGGGAATGCAGCGAGCTGAACCCTGCGTCAACAAGCCCGTGCTGATGGGAACATCCTCCCCTCAGCCTGTTGGGAAGGAGCAAGAGGGGGGGTTGTTTCCCCTTCTTTTTCCTTGCCAGCTTCCTCAAAGCTGAGTTTGTATGAAAACTCAAAAAAAGGAGTTTTCAAAAACTCAAGAAAAGGAAGAAAATCCCCAAGGATTTTGGTTTTTTTCCTATTCAAATCCTTTTGTTTCTTTCTAGCACTTGAGGTCATTGAAGGGCTTCCTTCAATTTTCTTCTCTTTCGCTATTTCTCCCTAAAAGCCCTATTTTCCCATTCTGATCCCTTATTGTTCAGCATCCACAGTCCACAGAGTTGTCCAGAGTGATCCCTGGGATGAAAACCTTCCCATTTAAAAGGAGAAATGATCAGGACATGCTACAGAAGGAGCAATTCAAATTTCCTCAGCCTCCTGCTACACCTCGAGCCTTTTCCCTGCTGGTGCTGCCCAGGGAGTTTGTGGGGGAAAACCCAGCACCCAGAGATTCTTTGAGGGAAAACCCAGCACCCAGGGAGGTTCTTTGAGGCAAAACTCAGTGCCCAGGGAGGTTCTTTGGGGGAATCCACCTCAGGGGCATGAAGCTGGAAGTAGGGGGGGTTGGAATCCACCAGGATTGGAAAAAACCTCCAAGACCATCGAATCCAACCCCTGCCCCAACAGCTCAACWAAACCATGGCACCAATCCCCACATCCAATCTTTGTTTAAAARCATCCAGGGATGGTGACTCCACCGCCTCCCYGGGCAAACTATTTCAATGTTTTACTCCTCTTCCTGTAAAGAACTTTTTTCTAATATCCAACCTGCGCTTCCCTTGGCGCAGCTTGAGACTGTGTCCTCTCTCTCTCCAATCTCTGCACAAATCCTGCCTCTCCAGTCTCTGGAGAAARCAAGCCCCCACCTTTCAGGAAGTTGTAGAGAGTGATAAGGTTGGGATCTGACAGGATGGGAGGTGAGGAATGGAGATTCCTCTCTAGGGTTTGGATTAGGATGGGCACGAAAAGTCACAGAGCGATGTGACCTCTCCAGGTTAAGAGACGTGGAGGTTATGGCCAGGAGAGCAGGGAAAGGACCCAAGGGAGCAGGAGAAGATGAAGCAGAGCCACCCCGTGCCCAGCCCATCCCAGCCCCGAGCTCTGACCTGATGAGTTCACGCAGGATGTCGGCGCGCCCCACCCGTGCCGCGTGGTACACGGGCGTGCTGCGGTGGTGCCGGCTGCCATTGGGGTCAGCACCTGCCTCCAGCAGGATCCTGGCGCACTCCAGGTGCCCGTTGACCACGGCCACGTAGAGGGCAGTCTGGCCCTTGACATCCACCAGGTCRATCTCGGCCCCTTTCTGCAGCAGGAAGTCGACGCAGGGGCCGTGGCCGGCGGTGGCGGCGATGCGCAGCGGCGTGCAGGGCAGCCAGCCGCAGCACCACACCGACTTCTCGTTGATGCGGCTGCCTCGGGGGAAAYGCCGAGTTAGAGAAACCCCCAATCCCTCCAGGAGGCAAGTTTGGGCAATCTGACAGTTTGGTGTTAGCTTAGCATCCTTGGGAGAGACATTCCCCAATAAATGTCAGAGGGCCTCCTGAGCAGACAGCAGATACCCCTTCATTTCCACTCTTTTCATCCTTTTTATCCTTTTTATCCCCATTATTACCATCAAAATTCTCCGTGGAAACCCTCAACTCAAAGCAAACCCCCAAATTCTACTTTTACCAGTGGTTTGTTTTTTTTTTTTTACCAGGCTCCCCAGGGAATGGGCACGACCCGAAGCTGCCACAGCCCCAGGAAGGTTTGGAGAACACCCTCAGGGAGGCACAGAGTGGGATTGTTGGGGTGTGTGTGCAGGGCCAGGGGTCAGACTGTTTGGGGGTCCCTTCAATTCTCTGATTTTTGTCACTTTGCAGCAGCCCAAAAAGCTCCCATCAATGACCTCTCAGGTCCTGCCGGGTGACAGCCAGAGATCATGGCATGAAGCAAACAGTGCTGAATGATGGGCTTTACTTGTGACGGGGCCTCAAAAATATAAAAAAAACCCTCTCCCTTGTCCCTTTTAACAGGGAGATGTCCCAAACTGGCTGCCCAGAGAAGCTGTGGCTGTCTCTGGATCCCTGGAAGTGTCTACGCCCAGCCTGGATGGGTTTGGAGTGACCTGGTCCAGGGAAGGTGTCCGTGTTCAGGGGAAGGGGTGGCACAGSATGAGCTTTAAGGTCCCCATCTCTCTCCAAATTCAAAGACATCACCTCTCTGCTCACTCCACCACCTGCGGAATGGTGCTGTGGGTCCCACCCTCCTCTTCCTGTCAAACTCTGCTTTTTCCTACAAAAAAAAAATCTCAGATTGAGGGTGCAAAGAGCCCCAGGTAGCAGAAAGAAGGCCTGGCTCATTCTCTCATTTTTTGCTGAAATAACACCTTTTTTTTGAGGCTGGGAGCCATTCAGCACTCTAAGCAGATTGCTCCACRGTGCAGGAAAATTAATTAACTGTCCCCACAGTCACAGGGTTAGCAGCAGGCAGATTTTGTAACACGGGGTGTTTCAGGTTTACAGCTGATTGTAATCCCTTTTGTATGTTTTTCCCATTATCCCATTTTCCTGGTACCGCATTCCTGTCCCGATCTGAAAAGAGTTCACGCACAGCTGCCACAGGCTCATGAGCTGCTGGGAGATTTGCCTGCTGGGAAACCAGGGGGACGATCTGGGGAAAAGTGGAGCATCCTCCCACCCTGACACCTCTCCCATAAAAACCTCCATCCCTGGGAGTGTCCAGGGACAGGGCCTGGAGCAACCTGGGATGTGGGAGGGGGGATGATCTTTAAGGGCCCTTCCAACCCAAATTTTGCTATGAAAAAACGGGGTGAGATGGGGGTCCCCAAAGGCTGCAGGTTGTGGGGACAGCAAGAACATCCTAGGAGACACCTCCCCCAAAAAAATATGGGGTGAAGTGGGAGTCCTCAAAAGTTGCAGCTTGTGGGGACAGCGAGCACAACACCCTTACACCTGTCACAAAAAGAACAGGGTGAAATGGGGGTCCCCCAAAACTGCAAGCTGTGGGGACAGCACGAACACCCCAGGAGACACCTCTCCCAAAAAAATGGGATGAGATGGGGGTCCTCAAAAGTTGCAGGTTGTGGGACAGCGAGCAGAACACCCTGACACCTCTCCCAAAAAAACGGGGTGAAATGGGGGTCCCTAAAAGGAGCAGGCTGTGCGGGCAGTGAGCAGAACACCCTGACACATGTTACAAAAAAAAAACCCGGGGTGAAATAGGAGTCCCCAAAAGCTGCAGGTTGTGGGAACAGCAAGAACATCCTAGGAGACACCTGTTCCTACAAAATGGGGTGAGATGGGGGTCCCCAAAAGTTGCAGGTTGTGGGGACAGARAGCACAACACCCTGACACCTGTCACCAGAAAAAGGGGTGAGGTCGGGGTCCCCAAAAGGCGCAGCTGTGGAGATGGCGAATGGAGCATCCTCCCTGACACCTCTCCTATAAAACCTCATCCCTGGGATGTTCCAGGCCGGACAGGACGGGGATTGGAACAACCTGTTCCAGCGCAAAGTGTTCCTGCCATGGCAGGATGGGACGGGATGCTCTGTAAGATCCGTCCGTGGGACACGGGCGGGACAGGGGCGGGACACGGTTGGGACACGGGCGGGACACGGGCGGGACACGGGCGGGACACGGGCGGGACACGGGTGGGACACGGGTGGGACACGGCAGCCCGAGCGCTGCGGGGGGAGCCGGCAGGTGGCCGGGCCGTGTCCCGGGGCTGCACCCCCACCTCTGGAAGCTCTCGTCCTGCAGCAGGGTGCGCAGCGTGGGCAGGTCGCCCACGAAAGCCGCGTCGTGCAGCCGGGTGTCCTCGCAGCGCTCCAGCGGGTGGTCGCAGAACTGCTCCTGCAGCCATTCCTTCAGGTTGCGACCTGCGCTGGAGACGGGCACGCAGCGGGGTGAGCTCTCGGGGCTGGGGTCACCCCGCTGCCCCCCGGCCCCTCCCGGCACGGCCACCCCCGGTCCCCCTGCCCGCGGTACCTGCCCGGGGCTGGCGGGTCCCCGCCCTCCGCCATCGCGCCCCGCCGGCCGCGCTCCCCTCCCTCCCTCCCTCCGGCCCTCCCTCTGTCCGTCCCTGTCGCCCTCCCTCCGTCCCTCCTTCCCGGTCTGATTGGTGCCCGCTCCGCTTCCTGCTCCGCGTTAAGGTGGATTCTCCGCTGGCCGCGGCCGCGCTGCGCATCCTCTCCTCCTTGAGCCGCTCCTCCAGCCCGAGCTCCTCTTTTCCTCCGGGAATTGCGGCTCCTTCCTCCTTGGGGCTGGGAGGGCTCGGCCGTGATGGGCGGAGGGACACCGAGGGAGGGATCGGACAATGTCCCGCAGCTTTTATGGGGTCCTGTTCTCCCCGTTTTTGCTGGTTTTACCCATCGTGGCTCGCTTTTCCCGCAGCGCAGCTTCCGGGATTTTCTCTTGGAAGGGA